TGATCAGAGACTACCTTGGACAGGTACCGGTTTATCTTTCGATTCATTCGTTCTACCATTCCATCGGACTGCGGATGTAATGCAGTCGTCCTCGTCTTCCGAATGTTAAGAATCTTACAGACATTCTGGAACAATATAGATTCAAAGTTCCTGCCTTGGTCTGAATGCATCTCCATTGGCACACCAAAACGACAAATCCACTCCTTAATAAGGGCATCGGCCACTGGGGCAGCTTCCTGGTTTGGCAAGGCGTACGCTTCCGCACACTTGCTGAAGTAGTCCATTACAACGATGATGTATTTATTTCCAGATTCTGTTTCCGGAAATGGACCCGCCACGTCGATTGCAATTCTCTCAAATGGGCTGCCCACATTGTACTGTCGCATTGGGGCTTTTGGGCGCTTCTGGGGTCCATTGCTTGCCGCGCAAACGGCGCACTTCTTGCACCATTCCTTCACATCCCGTTGGCTGTTGACCCAATAAAACCGTTCCCTAAGTCTTCCGAGCGTCCTGGTCACCCCAAGATGTCCTCCAGTAGTTCCATCATGGATTTCCTGCAGCACTTCTGGTATCCTGTTTCTGGGGATTATTATCTGCTTCCGGTCTTCCCCCCCTTCTGGCATCTCCAGAACGCGCTTTAGAAGCCCGTCACTTAAGATAATGGAATTCCATTGGGCCCAGTAGGATTTCATATTCGGCGAATATTGGGCGACTTCCTGCCACGTTGGTTTACGGTCGTTCTTCTTCCAATCGATGATAAGCTTCAAATCCGGGTCCCTTTCCTGGTCTTGTTGAACCTCAGCGGATTGCCAATGATCATCCACGATTGTAGTTCTGCGAACAAACACATCCTTTTCTTCGGCCCTGAGACAATGTTTACAGTCTTCCGGGCACGGTCTTCTTGACAAGGCGTCAGCATTTCTATGGATGGTCCCAGCCCGATGTTCTGTGTCAAAGTCGAACTCCTGTAGTCTCTCAATCCATCTTGCTACCTGTCCTTCAGGATTCTTGAATTGCAAAAGCCATTTTAGGGCAGCATGATCCGTTCTTAGCAAGAATTTTCTTCCATACAGGTACTTGTAAAAGTGTTCGACTGCCTTTACCACTGCCAACAGCTCGCGTCGAGTAACACAGTAATTTCGTTCTGGTTTGGATAAAGTTTTACTGAAGTATCCAATAACTTTCTCTTTTCCCGCTTGAATCTGCGACAAAACAGCTCCCAGGCCCACATTACTTGCGTCCGTGTCCAAAATAAATTCACCATCCGGAAGAGGATAACTTAAGACTGGTGAGCTGGTCAACGCGTTTTTCAGGTTCTTAAAGGCTTCTTGGCATTCTTCGTCCCATTGGAATCGTCTTTCTCCCTCTGTTAAACGTGTCAAAGGCTTAGCAACCTTTGCGAATCCAGGTACGTACCGCCGGTAGTAGGTGCATAATCCAAGAAAGCTTCTTAAGTCATGTTTGTTTTTCGGTACTGGCCATTCCCGCACCGTCTTCACTTTCTGTTTGTCCACTGCCACTCCTTGACTCGAAACAACATGGCCCAAATACTGCACTTCCCTCTGGAACAAGTGACATTTCTTCGGGCTTAGCTTCAGGCCGGAACTTCTTAAGCGCTGAAAGACTTCCTTCAGGTTCTTCATATGGTCCTCAAATGATTTCCCAACCACAATGATGTCGTCAAGGTACACCAAGCATGTCTTCCAGGATAGTCCCTTTAAAACCATTTCCATGAGCCTTTCAAAAGTTGCAGGGGCATTACATAGTCCAAACGGCATGACAGTAAACTGCCACAGTCCAGCACCCACGGTAAACGCCGTCTTTTCTCTATCTTCTGGTGCCATTTCAACCTGCCAGTAACCGCTTTTCAAATCCAGAGTCGAAAATATTTGCGATCCAGCCAATGTATCCAGGGTGTCATCGATCCTAGGTAGAGGGTAGCTGTCCTTCTTCGTCACGTTGTTCAGCTGACGAAAATCGACGCAAAATCGAGTTGATCCTTCCTTTTTCTTAACTAACACCACTGGGGAAGACCATGGGCTGTTGGATGGTTCGATCACTCCTTCCTTCTCCATTTCTTGCACAATTTTATCAGCTTCCTCTCGCTTGGCAAGTGGTAGCCTTCTTGCCGACTGTCGAATGGGCTGTGCATCACCGGTGTTAATTTTATGTTGGACAATTCTTGTCCTACCCTTCTTTTCTTGTCCATCATCAAAGACGTCCTGATAGTTGTGTATCAGCTCTCTCAGCTTTATTCTCTCATTTGGTTTTAAGTCCTTTGAAGAAGTCGAAAGCAGTCGTCAATTCATTGCTAATTTTCTTGGCCGGAACTCCAGACTCACGAATGCTTCTAATAATTGAGGAAACAGAGGAACAGTTCCCCAAAACGATTCCTTTTTTCAAGTTCACAGAGTAACCATTAACATTCAATACTCTTACAGGCACTTCTTTTCCGACACGTATTAAAGTCTTCCCTACTACAACTCCTCGACCGACCTCTTTGTCATCAATTCTCGGCTCCAGAAGCATTATACTTCCATCTTCTGATTTACAATCCAAGAAAGCCTTCAATATCATCTCGCTGTGTTCCGGTATCAAAGCATCTTCTGTTAGCATTACACGAATATTCTTTTCTTTTGATCGATGCAACACGACTTCTTCTCCATTTACTCTCAATATTCCTTGTTGAAAGTTTAGTTCAAATCCTATAGAGTTCATAATGTCCATGCCTACAATAACTTCATCTTCAATATCTGCTACTAATGCTCGATGTTTAAATTTCGTGTTTCCTATGACCATAGTGATGTCCACTTCTCCATGAACAGTAGCAGTATCTCCTGTTGCAGTACGTAGTCGCCGATTGGTAGATTTTATCTTCGACTTTTCGACAATATCTGGCCGAATAATTGTCTTCGCCGTACCTGTATCCAGCAGCAGCACATGTAACTTTCCATTAATAAAACCATCCACAAAAACACTGCTGGACTGATGTAGAAGAGATGCGACACGTTCGATATCCTCTGGGGCATGTTGGTTACAGGTCGACGGTTGCCCCTTTTCCTCGACCCTATCTAGTTTTCCGACTTGGATGAAGTCGGCGCCTCCTGGCTTTTTCTGCAACGACTTCGTATATGTCCGAGCTTTCCACATCTCCAACACCGGATTTCCTTCTTTTCTGGTAGATTCTCTTTAAGAACTCGCCTGATTTCTTCGATTATACTGGGTTCCTCCTCTTTTTCTTCCTCGGCTCTTCTAATTCTATGCTGGCTCCTGCAGCTCTGCTTTGCTGCCTCGAATTCCAAAGCTCGAGCCAATGCATCAACCAATTGGCTCGGACGAGCCAGTGTTAGAGCCTGTCTTGTTTCGTTGTCTCGAAGTCCATCCAAAAAGGCTTGAACCGCTAATCGTTCCATAACGGTCGTTGGAGTAGCTGGATATGCTAGCCGGACCAAGCGTGCAATATCAGCCTCGAATTCTTGCAAAGTTTCGTTTGATTTCTGGCAGCGGTTCTTAAGTTGGGAATGGTAGACATGTTCCAAATGTGTCTGGCCATATCGAAGTTCCAGATGTTTAACCAACGCTTCGTAATCTTCTTGTTCGTTGGGAGAGAGTGTCTGCAAGATGTCCGTTGCATCTCCGCGTAAAGCCAGAGTCAATGCTGTAGCTTTTTCTTCTGGTAGCCAGCCATTTGCTTTTGCTGCTGCCTCAAACTGACGGATGTAGTTGGTCCAAGAAGTTTTTCCATCGAACTGAGGTGGTTTCATTCGAACTCGGCTCCCCTCCGGCATTGTTCCTGGTTCCGCCAGCATCATGGGTAGATTTACAGCTGTCAGTTTACTATTTATTTCTTTAATTTTGACTTCCAATTTATCATCCAATTCCATCCTTACGTCATTCAATTCCATCCTTACGTCGTCAAATTTCTGCCCCATTTTCTCTTCCAATTCTTGGACATTATCTAGAATCTTCTGTTCCAAATATTCTTTTAAATTTTTAGAATTTTCCAGAATTTTCTGCTGCAAATCATCCTTTAAATTGTTGGAATTTTCCACCATTTTCTGTTGCAAATCGACTTTTAAATCGCTAGAATTTTCTACCATTTTCTGTTGCAGATCGTCTTTTAGTTTTTTAGAATTTTCTAGCATTTTATTTTGTAAGTCGTTAGAATTTTCTAGAATATTCTGTTGTAAATCGACTTTTAGGTCTTTTAAATTTTGCAACATTAAATGCATGTCACACGGGTCTTCAAATAAATACGTATCTGGATTTTCACCATCCTGTTCCAACGCTTCTCGAAGCCGCTGCTGCAACACATTCTTTTTTCCAGTTGGATCACATTCTCTTTCTTCCAGCTCCCGTTTAAGGTCCGCCACTTTTAAGTCCATTAACGAAACCATTTTCGCGAAGTTTCACACTAACCGCACTCCTGACACCAATTGTAACGTTTTTACTTGTTCGTAGTGTGAATTAAAACACGCACTGGTTAATTAACGAACTAAACTATTTATTTAATAACTTAACTACACTTAAAACACTATAAAACTAACTAAACACTTAACTACTAATTATTTATATATCACTATTGTTCAAGAGTCTATTTATTTGCACTTAAATTTATTTATTTCGCCGCTAGTACCAAATCATAACTGACTGGTCTGTGATGCTCCGTTTCTTATATATTCAGCGCCAAGGTCTTCTGGAACATTCCAGCGAGCTCCACACTCTCGATTGTTCGAGCGCTGAGTCACCGGCGATTACTCACCGGCGATGACTCATCGGCGATGAGTCATCACTCCGATATCCAGAGCGGTACTCGCTACAGTATGATATCAGTATGAATAAAATTTGTGAAAATCACGACATGATGTTCGTATGTCCGGGGTATTGTGTATTGCACGTAAAATTGCCGACTGTAATACGGGCTTTAAAAATATCTACAAAACTGTAAAAATACAAAAACCTTAAAATACGAATTTAAGGTTACCTGTTATTTATTTTAGATAATAATGCACTTGCTAGCCTCCTACATGGACACCCAACTAATGCCTATGCCCAACAAACCAGACACCAAAGCATTCAGCGGACACCACTACATTAAATTCACTGACAAAATGCCTGAATTGACCCCCAGCAGCTTATTCATACACCAAGCTTCGGAAAAACCCCCGCACTACAGAGTAATAGTGGGAGAAAAAGTTTATGAAATGATCAAAGGCTACAACAATCTATTTCACAGCTTTTTGTTCTTCATTTACCATGTCAATAAAGTGGAACATGGGATGCTTGGTAGAGTGAATCTTGGTAAAGCCGGAGTCAACATGCTTTGGATTATCGATCAGTAGTGACTTAAGTATAATTTTGACTGATTATTTTTTGTAATAAAGCCTTCATTAAGTATTAACAGGTAGTTTTTTTGTTTCAGTACCTACCCTATAAGTTGTCATAACATAGGCATTTAGTTCAATAAACAAAATGATTATTTTACTTTTACTCCTATTGCATAAATATTGGGTTTTTCCATATGTAATGATAACCGCCGCGCCTAACAACGAGAATATTGAACTCATTATTCGCGTTGTTAGGCATCATTGATTGACCAATTTCAATATTCACAGTGATTTGAAGCAATCAGGTTATAAATTGGGAGAAGCCTTCTTCGAGAAGGCGACTATAATATTTAAAATTGGTAGAAAGTGAGGTTAACCATCTGACAGATGTAAGATTTTTTTATTTATTTTTGAAAATCATTTAAATATCTACTATTTGGAAAAGATAAAGTTTGGTATTACATTCGAGATTATGGCATAATAATAATTATGCGCATGATTTGCGTTTCTCGTCTGGTGACTCGAGATGCTAACCTCATCCTCGTGAATAATAGCCTGCATTATCTCTCTTTTAATAATATATCATTTTACTTTTAGGTATAACAAAAAACAAGGTTATGCTTTATCTTGTTTTTAATGGATAAATTAAGTACCTACCTAAATTGTTCAAAAACGACAGCAAATAAACAATTGCTTTGATAGATTATAGTGATTATTTACCCAATCTCGATTTTTTAGGATTAGGGTTAGAACTGATAAAATATAGATTAAATGCATAAATATATTGATATTATGGACAAATAGGTTTAATGTTATACTAAATTTTATATTTAACTTAACAAAATGAGCAATATTAAAAGATATGGTTCTGTTTGTCTGAGAAATCATTATAGTGATGTTAGAGAAAAAAATAGTGCAATTAATAAAGACAACAGGTATTTAAAAAAACTTAATTTTTATTCACGCAAATAAAGTAGATTACTAATTACGCGTTTATTTTTTTTCTTAACTCTCAATTGTTAAGTTTGATTACAACCTTAAACCGTTGAGTGAATAAACGCCTAAAATATGAAAATGTTGCAGTATAAAATTTAATAATGGGTATTATTTCCAATAATTTTAGACAATCGATTATAACTTTAGACGACTTCATAAAATGTGGCATATGCAAAAGAGAACTTCAAAATCCAAAAATGCTGAATTGTCAGCACACGTTTTGTCTAATTTGCATACAATCTCTTATGATGGGTGGTATATTAAGTCAAGGTCCAGTTAATACAATTAATAATGTAAAATGCCCCACTTGTCATGAAGTAACTCCGTTAAAAGATGGAATAAACTCTATAGAAAACTTAAGAGGGAATCTGTATTTAGAGTCGTTGCTTAAGGCTGCCAGAGATCAACCACAAAATCTTGACAGTAATTGTGTAAAATGCAACATAAAAAGTAATGATTGTAAAGTATGTCAACACTGCTTACAGGTATTAAAATTATTATTATTATTAAGTTCAAATAATGAATTATTTTTTAATTTAGGTTTTTTGCAACATTTGCTGGGACGAGCATATGCCAGAACTAAACGAAATTCTATCAAACTTGACTAAACGTCTGGATGAAAATGTTTATAAAATTGATCAAAAAAGCGATTATTTTAAGGACCACTGTGAACAGATTAGGGATTTAATTGATATGTTGATGGAAGAGAAAATGAAAAACCTTAAGAAACTTCAAAAACAAGTCATGGGAGAGTTGGAGATATTTAAAGATGAGAGTGATGAATATGGAAAGGATTTAAAGAATAAGATGGAAGAGTTAAAAAATAAGATGTCTGATGAATCCAAAAATATCGGAAATAATAAGGTAGGTATACCAAATATAGCAATTAATAATAAATATTTTTGATGTGGAAACATTTAAGCTACAGCTGGTCGAATTAAGCGTCAGGTCCCTATTGTAAATGACCAATAGAATCCAATAAAAAATAAGTAATTGGTTTAAATTGGTTTGAAATATGTTTTGGCGCTATAAATGGATCACCAATTCCTTCAAGTTCCATTCCTATTGGTAAGTTCCAATGAAGTCAGCGGCTTGGATTGGAAAATACCAATCCATGCCTATGCTTGTCTCTATTGGCTAAATCCAATAGAAATGCACATGGAATGAATTGGTAATTCATAGCGCCAAACCCATTCCAACCAATTTGAACCAATTTATTTTTTTAAATTTGGATTAAAAATACCAGTTGATTTTTCATTCAAAAATAATTAAGATTCCAGAAGAATAACCGGGTAGAAACCAGAATTAATTTTTAGCATAAGAATTTCTTTTTTGTTTAACAAAAAAATTATTATATTTCCTATTATTTTTTTGTTTTAGTTTTTAGTGATATGTATTGATATATATATATATATATATATATATATATATATACAGTGGTGGTAATGTACGCGTATTCCCCTTTGTAGACAAAGACGCTAACAATAGAGATGCCATATAAGACGTGTAAAGTGTGGAGTGCCCCACCACTCCAGGAGTAGTGGGGCACTCTGCCTTGGGCAGACAACTTGTAGCGGCGTCAGACCAAAGTCAAAAATGTATGGATTTCAGCATCTTAGGGCCAATAATCTTGATGAATTAAGAGCAATGATTATTGATATATCATACATACATACATTAAGAAATATTAATAATAATAATAATAAATCTTTATTGTCCAACAGAATAACAACTCCAATAATAGGACAACAATTAAGGTTAAGTAAACTAAACTAAAAAAATAATTACAATAAGTTTAAGGCAGAGCCTAACTAAAAAAAAAATAAAAATAAGTACAATACCTATATGCAAAAACCCAAAAGTAACAAAATAAACTAAAAAATAAAAAGGCAAAAAATAAAGAAAAACTATATAAAGTATTCAGTTGCTACAACCAGGATTGATTTTAAGAAATCATTGTGTATATGAACTAGCTCGGATATTACATTAAACTTGGAACACATATTATAAATTGGCGACCTAAGCAAAACATTTGTTCGAGCTAGCCTGCAGTAAAAAGCAGGGTGACTTCGTAAATTTGGTCTGGGCACTAAAAAATTAATTACTTAGTAGAAATGGTGAGTCAATTAAGTTGTGCAAAAGTTTAAATAAAAAAAGTAATAGATAAAAGTATTCTTCTGATACGCAAAGATGAAAAATTGTGTCTGGTTAACAGTTGTGCATGATCTGTACCTCTTGGAGGGTAAAAACCATCTATTCTAAAAGATAAGAATTTTAAAAATCTTCTTTGAACATTTTCAATGTAGTTTATATAGGTGTTAAAAATAGGATTCCATATTAAGGCACCATATTCAAGTTTCGACCTTACTAGAGAAAAATATAATGAGTTTAAGGCGGTTATGTTTGTAAATGTCTTACAGTTTCTTATAATAAATCCCAATAATCTTAAAGAAGCCACAACGATGTTATTGATATGTGCAGAAAAAGTGAGCTTAGAATCAAACAATAAACCCAAGTCTTTAACCTCATTGCATCGAACTAACTGGGTATTGTTATAATGGTAGTTGTAAATAATAGCATTTTGTTTATAAGTGTACGAGCAGACTTTGCATTTACCAACATTCATACCTAACTTATTAATTAAACACCATGACTGAATAGTATCAATCTGTGACTGCAGACTTATACAATCTGATTCGCCTTTTATATTGTTAAAAATCTTTAGATCATCTGCATACAACAAACTTTTACAATCAAGTTTACTCGTTAGGTCATTAATATAAATTGTGAATAAAAGAGGACCAAGATTGGATCCTTGTGGAACTCCTGACGTAGCGAAGTAAGCTTGAGACTTAAAGCTGTTATATACCACAAATTGTTTACGATTATATAAATACGAACGTAAAAGTGCAACAAGCGAATCACAAAAACCATATTCTTCCAATTTGCAGCATAAAATTCTATGATCAATTGTGTCAAAAGCCTTCGAGAAGTCCGTGTACACAACGTCAACCTGTCCTTGTTCGTTAATAACATTAGTAATAAATTCGGTCTTTTCTGCTAAATTACTTATTGTAGAACGTCTTTCAATAAAGCCATGTTGTTGGGAAGCAATAACTGATTTTAGCTGGTAGTATAGGCGTTCATACATGGACATCTCGAAGACCTTAGCGAAGTTATTAAGAATTGAAATAGGGCGACAGTTTGTTATATCTGCAGGATCACCAGATTTTAATATCGGACATACTTTGGCCTCTTTCCACTTCTCAGGAAACGTTTGGAACTTTAGAATACTATTAAAGATTATTGTTAGTGGGATTGCAAAAACAGTGGAGCAATCTTTTATAAAAAAGCTTGGTATTTGATCTTGCCCCGAAGTCATTTTATTGGATAATTTTTTAATTGATTTGAGAATATCATTACTAGAGAAAGAGCTTAAGTTAATGTTATGTTTAGGTATTGGGTCTTTTTAGAGGAAAACTCGTTCATTAACTTAACACTTATATTTCGTTTCTTGCGATAGCTAAACACGTCTGTTCAGCTACGCGGTTTACAGTCGAGAGGGCCAAGTACAATTCCGTTTGCAACTGCCACCTGTTGGCGCATGCTCTATAAGGTTATACAATACAATTCCATTCATTTGCGGGCTTTACAACACCCTTACGCTAAGCTTGTGCTAACATGACAATCGTAAAATATATACTCTATTACATATCATTTATACATAAAACATATAAAATATAATTTGTATCACATTTATAGTATCCTTGTGGACATCTCTAAACTTATTTATCACAGTTTTACCAGCAAGCAACCCCTTTGCCAAAAAAGGGAACAGAAGAACTTTTTGGAAATTTGTATTTTTGTAAATCTCCATCTGACAGGATCGCTACTTTACCAATTTAACGTGAAACGTACGTGTCTAGCCACACAGGCTTCTTTCTGACTCTACCAGACGATCCTGGGCCTGATGTGGGTTTACTTTCCCCTTGAGGTTTGGCAGTGGAGTTGGTTGCTTTAGAGGTAGGTTCTCCTGCAATAGGTGATTCGACACTTTCAGGCTGAGTTTCCCTAGAACAACTTATTTTAGTGGGATTTAAACATACAATTTTAGAGTTAGTGTCAGCATTTTGCAATAAGGCTTGTGTAAGCTCATTGTTGTCAGGAATGTGGGGTTTATTTGGTGCTATGCTGGGCATGTTAATAAAATAATCACTTTGTTTGCCCATATCTGAACCCGAAAAATGCTCATTAATGTTATCGTGTACCCCTTTCCTAACGCAAAACTTTTGTATTTGATCTGTGTGTCTTTTAACTACTTTTTGTGTTTCCATTTTGCACAGATACACGGATCTCCCTAATTGTGTCAGGACCTTCGCTCTTACCCAACTTTTGTTGTTCACGGTATATTGTCGAATGTATACCTCCTCCCCTTCTTGGAATTTTGGTTGTTTTGTTGAATCGTTGGCTTCGTTTACCGTCCTCGCCCCTTCTGCCAGTTGTGATAGCCTGGTTCTTGCTTTTCTTCCATTGAACATCAACTCAAATGGGGTTTTTCCCGTTGTAGAATGCTGGGAATTTCGATAAACGAACAAAAATCGTGAAATAATGGTTTTTGAGCTTAAGTTTTTGTTTCTTTCATCTTGAAAAGCCGTTTTTAACTTGTTTTTAAAAGTCTTCACCATATTTTCTGCCGCTCCGTTACTTTGGGGGTGATATGGAGGGATTGTCACATGATTTATACCATTTTTTGTGAAAAATGTGGATAAGTTTGTTGAAATTAACTGCGGCCCATTGTCACTCACCACAGTGTCTGGCAAACCAAACCTGGCAAAAGTTTCTCGTAGTGCCTCTTCGGTCTTTTCTGCCGTTGTGTTTGACATTTCGTGGACCTCTACCCATTTTGAGAAAGAATCCAAGATTATTAAATACATTTTTGAATGTATAGGTCCACAAAAATCGACATGGATTCGTTCAAAAGGTATTTCTGTTAAAGGCCAAGGTGTTAACAAACTTTTGGGTGGGTCTTGCTTATTTTCTTTGCATAATGCACACGACTTTATAAATTCTTCTATTTGTTGGTCTATTTCGGGCCAATATACCCAAGAACGAGCCAAAGCCTTTGCCCTTGCTATTCCAAAATGAGCAGTATGAAGCTCTGACAAGATACTATCTTGTAAAATCTTCGGGATGATTAACCTATGTCCAAATAATAATATCCCATCCTCGTCGCCACTGTTATGTTTAGGTATTGGGTCTTTTTAGAGGAAAACTCGTTCATTAACTTAACACTTATATTTCGTTTCTTGCGATAGCTAAACACGTCTGTTCAGCTACGCGGTTTACAGTCGAGAGGGCCAAGTACAATTCCGTTTGCAACTGCCACCTGTTGGCGCATGCTCTATAAGGTTATACAATACAATTCCATTCATTTGCGGGCTTTACAACAGTTAATAGACTGATTACTAAAGTTAGTTATAAGGTTATAATCAATACTGGGAGCCAAGAATACGCTCTTAAAATAGTCTGCAAAACCCTCAACAATATCCATTGGCTGTGCTAAATGTCTATCGTGAAGATAAACTATACCTGGAATACGGGAAGAGGCCTTTTTTGAACGGATATAGCTCCAAAATTGTTTAGGATCAGTTGTGATATTATTTTGTATCTTAATTAGGTAGTTATTGTAAGCATAAGAGACTTTTCTTTTAATCAAGGCTCGCATCCTAGAAAATTCTTGGTAATAAAAGTTACTTTTAGATTTTTTATAGAGGTTATAACGTTATAGTAATGCAATTTTAGTTTTAAGTTGTGTATTATATCACTATTATACCAAATCGGGTACTGAGTTTTTCTAGTTTTATAGGTGGGAACATATGTGCCCAAGAGGGTAAATAATTTATTGTAGAACTGTTCACACATTTCATTAACATCGGCAAAACCAGATAAAAATTGCCAATCCACATCTAATAAGGCATCGTAAAGTAAGTTAAAGTTGGCTTTTTTAAAATTATAGGTTTTATGATTTACATTACTTGAAAACGTGAATGTTTTAGATGTGGTTATTTGATAATTTATAATAAGCGCCGGATGAAAATTGTCTTCTGTAACTAATGGCGTTGTTTGGCGAGTCACCTCACAATGTAAGTCAGTAATTACTAAATCCAACATTTTGTTATAGTTGTTGAGTACTACGTTAAGCTGTCGTAAGTTAAGGAAGTTTAAAGAATTATTCACAATATTAGATTTAGCATCACAAAGATCGCCTTTATAAAAATTTGGAACATTAAAATCTCCTATGATTATTACATTTTGTTGCGAAATTAATATGTTTTCAAAAAAGTCGAAAAATGATTGAAAATCCTGGTTTGATACTTGCGGAGGTATATAAATAACATAAATATATACGGTTTTCTGTTCGATTTGAATTTTACAGCCTAAAATGTCTATTAAAGCGCACACATAGTTACTTTCATTAAGGTCTAAACAAGAAACACTAAAAAAGTCTTTACAGGCTAAAAGCACACCACCACCACGCGATAAATTGGTTTCAATGAAACGTCTATCTTTGCGAAAAACGTTATAGAACTCCGGAAACAGCTCAGAGCTACACACATCACAATTTAGCCAGGTCTCCGTAAGGGCAATGAAGTCGAAATCACTTGTTGTAACCGAAGAATAAAATTCTGTAACTTTGGAGTTTAGTCCTCTAACATTTTGTGTATAGATTTGAAAGTTGTTTAAAATTCCGTTGGACCTAATTAGTTTAAATGTACTATTTGTGGTTTACCATTAACATGCTTAATTTTCAAGTTGGTTTCACCTTCAGCAACTCTGCGATCCAGCTCCGTTTTAACAGTGCGAAATAATTGAATTTGTCTAGGAGTACGGTCATAAGAGACGCTTATATTGTTAAATATTTGAAGGTCCTTAAGTTTTTTGGCATTCTGAATTACTTTATGAACGTAGCCTTCATTTTCCAACACCAGCTTAACTGGTCTTGAGTTGGTTTTAGTGCTGTCGAATTTACCAAGCCTTATTGGTTTTATATTATTAAGTGGCATCTCATTATATAAATTTTGAATTATGGCTTTAACACACTCAGTATCTTTTTTGTTATTTTCGTCCTTGCTTAAATTGTTATCCTCTTTGATTCCAAAAAAAATAATATTGCGCTTCCTAGCGTTACGTTCATTGATTTCAAAGATTATATCTTCAAAATCTAGGTTTGAGTGATTTGCCGTATCAGTTTTGAGACTTTTTAGGGTTTCTATTTCTTTTTGAAGAGCTAATACTAAAGCTTTTAGTTCATTGACACCATCGCCAATATTGACGCAGTTTTTACAATTCCAGTTAATACTGCTCTTGTTTTGAATTGATTTTACCTCAGCCAGTGATAAATTAACACATGAGTAATAAAATAAATTTTTGCAGATACTGCATGGGGCCATCTTGGAGTCATCACATAACTTTTTGCAACAATGGCACTCTATTTGCGCCGGCATCTTAAAAACTGGGAACTTTTTCCAAGTCTGGCAACGCTGCAATAATTTCCTGTGCGAGAGTTTTTGCGTAAGGTTGAGCAAAAAAACAGTGTTTACATTTGATGAATTGGATCAAATTAACACTATCGGTGGAAAAAACGCACTATTTATATATACCTTGTGTAGCCGAAGTCGAACTTAAAACGCTAATCGATGTTCCAAAAATTAAAAAAACATAATAACCGAACTTTCTGAATTTAACCAAAAACTGCAACACACAGCCAGGCTCTGTTGCCACAACCCTAATATGCTGTCAAATGTCCGTCAAAATTTTTACAACAGGTTGACGTATTGTTCGGCAGCTTTTGGGCAGCTATTTGAACATTTGCTTTAAATTATTTTTTCTTTACGTTTTTTAGAATACTTTTTTATTTGAGAATATTTGTTTTTTTATTACAAGAATATTATTGTTTATTTTCCACATTTCCTAAGAAATATTTGCAAGGAATTTTTGTTTCTGTAAACAAAATCATAATAAAATATTTACGTTGTTTTATAACAACCGACTACACCCTACCTCAGTCGTAATGAAACTGACACTCAGAGATAAAGAAGGTTGACACTAAATAGTGGCAAATCTCGAACATGTCGGCGGGTAACGCAGATAGTTAAAGAAGGGGAAGTAAAACATTGGCGTGTAATAGACCGTTTTGATTTAATTGTTTTAAAAATTTCTACTGCACGCTCATGACGGAGGGGAATCACGTTTGTTAACCAGTCGATGGTTGTTAATCTCACTCTTTCGTACGTTTTATATTGCATGCATCTTTGTCACAATTTGGCCTAAATGTGCATTATTACCACTGTATAACTTACTAACACAAAAAAGTAATAATAAATAAATAAAATTACTCGGTTATAATAATTTTTTTGTCTTTTTTGTAAAGGATGTAACCACCATTCTCACGCCATCGTCCGTAAACCTTACACATTGAAACATTTTTTAAGGTATAAGTACACACCACTATAAGTATACAACTACCACTAAGCACAGAAACCCATAGATTATAAAAGAAACCGACTAATAAAAAAACTTGTTTGTTTATTTATGGTGGCGTCACAACCATGCATTCGAACAAGGACTGCGTACGTTGGTTTTGCACAGCTAGACGAGAGCCCTCTTGCGATATTTTAAAGTATTGGAAATATTCATTTAGCAGATTCCTTTTTAGAATCTTAGAATTCAATTGGAAATTACCTATGGGTAGCTTTAACCAATCGAAACCACTAAAAAAACAGTAGAATCCTAATTGGTCTTTTCCATATTTTAAATTATTGGGAATAACCAATTAGCAGATTCCTTTCTAGAATCTTACACTGGGAATGCCCAATTGAATTCAATTGGAAATTACCTATAGGTAGCTTTAACCAATCGAAAAAACAGTAGAATCCTAATCGGACTTTTCCATCATGAAAAATACAAGTAAAAACCATATTCTGTTTTATATCGCTCCCAATTAAACCCAGCAAGTCCAATTCAGACCTATTGATACCAACCAATACTTCAATTGGTTTCTATAAGGAATTAATCGGTCATTTACAACAGGGATCCTTTGTAAGTACAATGGAACTCTTATATTTTATTGTTATTTCAGGATAAAATGTTTAGATCCTTCCACGAACAAACATCGGCCCTAATCAACAAAATTCATAACTACGGCGAAAACAAAATAATATTCGATTCAGAAAAATGCAAGTTGGACCTGTGCAAAGAAGGAATTTACAACGACGACAGCTCAAAAGTAAAAATCGTCCATTCAATCGATCCCAGGGTAAATTACTACAAAACGCGACCGTTCGTAGCCAAATTAAAATGGAGCAAATGTCCGCGATCAGGAGGTGTAGGAATAGCACCTTGGGACACCTCCAAACTCTACATTGCTGCAACTGATAACAGCTGCGTGCTAAAACTCGATATGGTTACAAATAAATTACTGGGAAGTATAAGGCATGATGACATGGCGTACGCATGCGCAGTCGCATTTTCCATGAAAAATAACGAAATTTTTATATCTGATAAGTGGAATAACTGTGTACACGTTTTTAGTAGGGATGAAGCGTTTCAAAGAACAATATGTAAGGAAGTTATTAAAACACCAAATGGGATTGCTATAGGACCAAATAACGAGCTAGTTATATCAGACAGTGGTAACAAAAGAATTCTTATAGTATCTTTTAAAGACGGGGAAATCATAAGAGAAATAAGATCTCTAAACAACCCCACTGCTTTAACCATACACGACTCGAAAATCTACGTTGCCGATACGGGAAACCACAGAATAAAAATATTTAACTTCCAGGGTGAATCCCTTCAAGATTTTGGTACTTTAGGTAAACATCCAGGGCAATTTAGGTATGCAGAAGCCATTGCTGTAGATCGTCATGGTTTTATTTTGGTTGGTGATGCAGGAAATGCCAGGATTCAAGTTTTTAAACCTGATGGTACAATTGTTAGAATTTTTGGTTGCAAAGAAGGTTTTGGTTGGGTTAGTGGATTGGCTATTTCAGACGAGTCGGATATAATTTTGACCGATCATAAAAACAGAAGTTTCATTATTTTTTAAGCAATGAGTGTCAACACTATGGAGCCTACACAAGGAGTCCGAACTTCATGTATACAAATAGCTTCCTCAAATAAGAGGGCGCTGGTGTTCCGTTGATTTTTTGGTTAGTACCGAAACCTCACCAAAGCACCAGCATGACTATACTCGAGATCGTGAGAAGTGAGAAATCCCTTCTCTCGAGCGATAGATCACATCACACCAGCATCGCATGACCCGTAAAATGTGTATTCTCAAAGTTATGGGATGTGAGCTTTCGTCTACGATACGCTATGCGCTGTTGACATATCTACCAACCAATCGTATTATAGGGTTTCTGCACGTGACTTTGTTTATTTCTCGTTTTGACAATTGCAGTGTTTGCAGGTTATTTGCGATTGTGCGATAGTGATTGTTTTAGTCAGGGTAAAGCAATTAAGTAAGTCTTTCTACTATGGTTTTTGTTATATTCGGTTTATTTTGTTGCAAAATACAATATAATATATTATATTGATACGTTATGGTATTTTGTAAATGTAAATACCCTATAGTGGGGTTACTTTGCACCTGCACGTCGGTTTTTATCATAAATATCGCCAAATGTGCACATTTTACACACAGTTCAACTTCTTATTTAGTAAATCAATCACAAGTCGTACAAGCTCTTTAGTCAAACGAAAAAATCTTACAAATTTATCGTCGGACAATAAAAATGGATTTTGCCTGGGTAAAAAGGCTCTATTAGGTCGATCTACTTGCTCTTCAGCGTCAGCAACATCATCAATTTCATGAAGCAACGCAATGTCTTCAAAATTCATCTTATAATAATTATAATTATTACTAGTGTCAAAAAATATAAATAACCAGAAATATTTTTAGGTTATATTTTTCACACGATCGACGCGTTCTCCTACTAAGGATCAAGCGATGTTCCCTTCTCTTGATATTGTGGGATGGGATCAGTCACATTTTTGGAGAATACGCAATTTTATATTTTGACATGATATCGGCAAGCTCCGCCCACTTTCTCACGATATGACCACATCGCACGATTCGAGTATAACCACCCAGTACGCAATGACAATCAGCGCCGCTGGTGTTGAAAAAAGAAAACCTAAATTGTGCGATTAAGAGGGCGGGTTTTGTCAATTTCATTTGTTCGGACTCCTTGTGTAGGCTCATGGTAAGACCTTGGAGAATAAAGATTGGCGCCCCAATAATTGCTATTTAATCTGAGGTCATATCCTTTAAGCTGTGAAATGGCCAGAGATATATATATGGCCCTCTTACAGTTATAATTCATTATTATCTTGGTTTTGGTTTTTAAGGATATTTGAGGAAATTAAATAAAAAATTTAAATACACATAAAAATTAATGTTGTTTTTATTGCAAAATAACATTGTCCTTACCTTTCATGTCCCGACTTCCTAATCCTGACAAAATATATTATATTTGCGAAACTTCGGATAGAGATAGTATATGGACAAGAGAGTAACATAGGCTATTATTTTTTATTTCTTTTTATACGCTCTTTGTTGTTTTTAAAAAATTTGGAGTTTTTAAAAAATCTTCAAAACCCTCACTATTAGAAAAAATTCCAAAAAATCTGGGATCTTTGTGGAGTTGCCAAATTTCTAAAACATCCCAGAATTTTTCAAAATTTTCATCATGCACTATTTAACGTTGTTGCCCAATTTCCAAGTTTGTTTTTTTCCAAATCTTTAGGATACCTTCAGGAAGTCATATATTTAGCGGTGTTTCCAAATTTATATCTACTTTTTTTTGCTTTTTAATACATTTTTTTACTTCTATAACGGAATATGAACGTTCTAATATCACTTGTGGAATTACATATATTCATACCATCACCGGATGACGGAATAAACAAGGTATTTTTTGGAAACGTAAAAAAAGTATTATACTCCAAGTCTTAAACACTATTGAAAATACATATTCCGTTCTCGAGAAACCGCCAAATCACCTTCGGCTCGCGTGACAAACTTTTCACTCGGGCGGAACATGCCGTACTCCTAATTTGTTACAGAATACCATCTTATTTTTAAAATTTTTTACTACAAATTCCCAGAGCCTGCAACGTTGCCAAATTTTTAAAAATTCTTAGAATCTGCAGATTCATCATGATTTTTTTTTTTTTTGCAGTGTGGTCAAATTTTGCTTGGTAAATACAGTTGTCAAGTTGGTCGCATTGATTAAAACAAACTAAGCTAGTTATAAATCTAATTGTGGTTATGTATAAATTATTGTTACATTGTGCGGTTGTCAAGTTAAGTTGTCGAAATTCGTAGTTAAAAATGCAATTAAGTTGGCTTTGGTGGTGCTTGGATGAGTACAATCATATAAAAAAGTAGTTAAATATAGGTTGCTTTACGGCCCAGAAGAGAAAGTATTCCTAGCGGATAATTTTCTTCGCTTTGAAAAGAATTTATATAAAAGAAATAAAAAATTTATGTGAACGTAAATGTTGTCCAATGGTGAATAATGTGAAAATAATGTGTGATGAATATTTATAAAACCAAATTCGTTACTTTTTTACTCCAAAAATGTCCATAAGGCGATGTACTTTTTCTTCCATTGTGGCATTTGGCATAATTTCATCAAAAGTTTTGCCCTCAAAATGGCTTTTACATTCGAATTCGTTGCCATTATTTTTGGCATAATTATCTTTTTATTTATAATTGACAAGTAAATTATCAATAATAAATATTATTGTCAATTTGACAGTGTCAAAGTATTTAATTAAATTCTTTAACAGAAGTACCATTTTTAAATACTAAGTTAAACTGGTATAACCACCAACCTAACAACAAATAAAATATAATAAAAAAAATGAACTGTAACTTTAGTATTTTATTAATCCTTTTTTGGATTTTTTTTTAATTCAAAGGTCTGTTATTTGCGGTGTTTCTATATTTCTAAAAATCCAGGAACTTGAGAATTTATAAAAATCTTCAGAATACCCTAAGTAAGTCATCTTGCAATATTTAAAGTATAATGTATTCATATATCTACACTGCGCGTCAAAATGAACGCATAACCAGTAAAAAAATCCAACTCTAAAACGCCTTTACCAATCTTAATAATATTTTGGATAAAAAAACTTGAACTTATCTCAGTTTACGTGTTCAAGAGTTTATCGAGAAAATATCCTTAAAGCCCTTTTATTTAATAATAAAAAACGCTCGTAAAAAAACTTTTATAGGGATTTATACCTTAATAAATAATATGCTGTGAAAGACCGTATTTTTGGCTTCAAAGTCGTCAAAAATGCCCACTTTTCAATAAAATAATCAAAAAGGGGTCGTTTTTACCGCTATATCTTTTTACTGTTCGTTTGATTTGTTCAAAATTTTCAGGGTATACTAACAAAAACACGGTCTTTAATAGCATAATTTATAATTTCTCAAAATAAAATTCCCTAAAAGTTATTTTTCGAACGTTTTTTTATTATTAAATAAAAGGACTTTAAAAATATTTTATCAAAAAACCCTTGAACTCGTAAACTGAGATATAAGTTGAAGTATTTTTAGATTTTTTTATTTATTATGCGTTAATTTTGACGCGCAGTGTACAGGGTGATCCCCTATAATGTCGCCCCCCTTTAACTTTTTTATTTTAAGTGTCCCAAAAAATTTAAAAGTGTGGTTATGTAGGTACTAAAAAATACTTTTTTTCTACTTATAAAGAAAATTGGAAAATTTATCAGTATACAGGGAAAAACCCTGTACATAAATCCTGAAATATAAAAGTGGGTTTCGACGCTAGCTCTTAATATTTGACAGGTTTAAATAAAATTAGGAACTGAATATTTAATTTAAATTTTATTAAGAAAGACATGATAATAATTATTAAAAAACAAAAATTTGACTGTGGCTGGTGGGACGTAAATTTACACAATTAAACAGTTCACATTAAAAAAACAAATGATCGCAAAACATTAAACAATTTACAGTACACACATATAAGCAACCATATATAAAATTACTTTAATAAACTTAACCGAATGATTTAAAAACCTGGGATATCAATTTTTACCTCGGAATTGCTTCAATAAAGCTCAACTGCCCAATAAGATTTAAAAAATAAAGTTGTTCTTGCTGAACAGCTGGGGTCTACCCAAGCAACACACTACATACAAGACCAAAGAAAAAATTAAGTGATCAATAGTCAAAAAGATTTTGATTAACATAAATAAATTTATTGACCAATAATAAATAATTTCGCCCTGTATGCGAAACGAAATGAAGATCGAGAAGTATTTAGGGGAATAACAAGTTTAATCATGTACCCAAATACCACTGAGCTATAGATTTTAACTTAAGGCGATATTCTCTTTTTTTAAAAAGGCGTCGTGTAGCTTTCTATATTCTATTGATTAGTATTCGTCTTCATCGCCGCCGCCGCCCTCTGTCTCCTCGGGGGGCGCGAATCCCTCCTGCAAAATGTCCTTTTTTAGTTTGTATCAAAAATAATAAGTGGGTGATACTCACTTCTGTCGCATATAATATATCTAGGATTTTTTGGATGTATGGGCCTGTACCTTCCGCCTCTTGACACAAAACTTCAATGTCTCTAAGCTTGCCAAAGTAAAAATCTCTTTCCTTCTCCAAACCATCAATTGATATCTTGAAAATAAATACCATTTATTAATATAACCCAGCTGTTTCATAATAATTTGAAGTTTCTTATTAACAATAATGTGTTCAAGGAATTGAAGCGAAAAAAAGTGTCAGGAGAGCATGAAGTCGCAGAGGATGTCATTTACTTTGCTGAAATACAGTAACCGCACAGTGCACAGTGTGTTAAATTAATTATCTAGCTAGACAAAACCTAAATTAAAAACAACCTGAAATAAAGACAAATTTTATTAAATAAGCTTTTTCAGTTCTTCCTGTTATGATTTCCATTTCTTAGAACGAACTGCAACAGTGTATTTAGCACTATGCAGGCGCCAGTTCCGGGCGTATCATTTTTTATAAACATACTTAGCCGTGTATGCATTGCAAAACGTTGGTTTGATTTTGACATTGTTTCAAGTTAAATCAAATTTTGAACTGTGCAGCTATGGATCTAGGTATATATTACTTATTTTTTAATATTAGGGATTTATACTATCAGTAATCAGCAACAGGCTATAGATATATAAACTCACTTGGTGTTGTTAAATATGGACAATATTTATTAAGCAAGAAGTGTTGTAATCGAGCAATATCGGGTGCACTATCAATATTTGTTTTGTTTTATAACGTCTACAGATTACTTATGTGCCTTTATTTATTGCCCCAATTTGCCTCTTCTACAGGGTGTAACCAAAAACCGACTCACTCCTTTTTTATTAGTAAATTTTGGAAAAGAGTTAAAATTTGGGAGTAACCAATATTTTTGTATATTTCAAATCAGGAGAAGATTTTGAATTCGATACTTACACTTTCGCGTGAATTTTAAAATGATCTTAATTTTTGTTGTAATTTAAGTTTTCCATAAGTGTAATTTTAGTGGAAAACACTAAACAACTTTTTATGACATTGGTGGGTTTTGATTGGGAAAAACATATGGATTTTAAAAAACATTAGTATGGTATTTAAAAAAGTTGAGTTAATTAAATATTTACTATTTATGCATTTTACTGCAAATTTGGATGGTAAAACTAATTGCTTCTCCAAATTGCAGCTTTCTGGATTGAAAAATAAAACTGGACAAAAATTCAAGGACGATTGCAAAATGGTAGCGAATGTGCATCTATCGGATTCAAAATTTTCTCCAGATTTCAAATATACAAAAATATACTGGGTGTTTCTTTGGAAAAACGAAAGTTCACCAATTTCCGACGTAACCGAAAGTTTATTTTTTATTGCAAGGCGCCGACCATTTTGTAATGAACGAATTTAATTTCTGCATTTTGAATTTCAGATTTGGATTCAGTGAACCCAAATACCCCATTTACAGAGAAAATTTATAATTTTTTATGTCATTTAGGTTTTGACTAGCTAGATAATATATTTAACACACTGTGCAGTGGTTGAAAATACAAAAAACCCGGACATCGATAAAATGGAATTTTACTATTACAAATCAAGTTCAATTTTCAAAAAACAAAATGGCGAGTCCAAAATGGCCGACATTTTAAAGAAAAAATTATCAGATTCCGTCTTAATCATGTGTACGAGGGTTTTTAAGGTGGCTGATTACGAAACTCAGGTTACATTTTTAAACAACAAAATCGCGGATCCGCTGATTATCTAAATCATGTATACGAGGGTTTTTAAGGTCGCTGATTACGAATCTGAATTACAATTTTTAAAATACACAATAGCGTATCCAAAATGGCCGATATTTTGAAGAAAAACTAATCGAATTTGGTGGAAATTATATGTGAAATAGTTTTTTTGGTCGCTGATTACCTACTATCTACTTGTTGAAAATTTGTACAATCATAAATGTACAAATTTTTAGACATGTAGGAGTAGATAAAATATCTAGGTTTAGAGGAGCGTTTGCTCTGAAAAGTCCAAATAAAAAAAAATTACTGACATTTTAGAAAAAATGGGAAAATTTAATCAAAACTATATATTCAATGGTTTTTAGGTCGTTAAACGAACATTAAATCGGTGTTAAAAAATTAAAACTAGTTTTGATAATTGGAACGGATTTTATCGTTAAAAATTCCACAAAATGTAGTAATTCGTCAGAATTACATGTATTAAATTGACTTGATTCCCAAGTGATTGAGAGGGCCTGTTTCCCATATGAGGCAGTAAAATTTCTATGGCCTTTGGAACAAGCTGGGGCCTTTTTCGGTTTAATTTTTCTCTAGAAATTAAAGGATCCGAAGATTTTCTTTTGTAAACACTTTCGGGCAAAATCTGTTCGATATCGCTTAATGCCTAAGTGATCTCGTTAAATATTGATAAATGACCGCACAATCGAAGTATTCCACGTGCCACATTTTTTTGATCGTCTGAGATGAAAACTTTTTCGATCACTTTTGGTTTAATTATTTTAAAATAAAACCTTTCTGCGGACCACCATTTTACGTCAGTTTCCGTACATACAAAAGGTCTGAATATATCAAAATTATAAATGTACGTGACCGACTTACCTTCAGGAACACCCTCCATCAAGCCCAATCAGAAAACAACACCGCGTCGTAGTGCAATTTTTTATTTCATATTTGGAATCTGGGCGATTCCATGATTACTGACGGGACAAGCAGAAAAAAACAAAATGTTTTAAGAAAATTTTTAAAGATGTGTTCTTATAATAACAATTTTATGCCAATCCTGAAATTAAGTAATAATAACTATTATGAAATTATTATGTTTTCATAAAACATTTTGTCTTGTTTTTGTTTGTCCCGTCAGTAATCATGGTAGTTTGTTATTAATTTTTTTTACGTTTCTCAAACAATTTTTGAGAACGTTTGAAAACCTAAACACGGTGACCTTGAAGAGGATTGTGACGTCATGATGTTATAAAGGTTGTGTCAGGGATTACCATAGAAATAATAATAATAGTATTATTTCTATGGGGATTACGAATGAATCCAACATCTGTTCTAGCATGGTTTCTAGGTTAAGTCCAATATTCTTTAAAGTATTTAGGCGTATTCATGCTCACTTAAAATAAGAAATAAGAAATAAAGATCTCGATTGATCGTTCATGCTGATAACATTTATAAGAAAAAATGTTGTCACAATTATAATTTATTATAGTGGATTATATATTGGCTATAAACGTAAACAATCGTCATCGACACTCAACGCACCTTGGCTCCATGGCCAGCACGTAAAACCCATAGAACCAATTCACAGACCTATTTTATCCTTTTGCGCAGTTTTATACGCAAAAATAAAGTTATTTATCTCAAGATACATACACCTTAAGATAGGATGGTGCGCATGTTGGGCGGGGCTTAATAACGTCACTTGATGAGTGTTTTTATATCTTTAAGGTGCTTTTTAATTATCTGCTGCTAAAATTCTTGTTTTTGCGATGCTTTTGGATGTTAACTTCATCTACTTTTTGTTTAACTTGTCGTTTTTGTGTTCGGTAAGGTTCGAATTACTTTTCAGCGTTCAAATTATTGTTATTGCGTTAGGTTAACCTGTAAAGCCGCGTCCAGATTTGTACCACGTCGCGCAACCGTACCACGTCGCGAACCACGTCGCGTGCAATCTGGACGTCGAAACGAACGCCGTCGCGAACCGAATAAGCGCTTATTCGGTTCGCGACGGCGTTCGTTTCGACGTCCAGATTGCACGCGACGTGGTTCGCGACGTGGTACGGTTGCGCGACGTGGTACAAATCTGGACGCGGCTTTAGGTTTGTTTATTATTGTTTTTGTGTTGCGTTAACTTGTTTTGTTTGTGTTTTAGATTGTATAGTGCCATTTGCATTTATTAAAATGCGGTGTGGCATATTTGGATGCAATTCGGACAACCAGTCCAAGAAAAACCCTTTAAATAAAAACATTAAATTTAATCGATTCCCGAAAAAGTTTGATTTGTGGAAACAGTGTTTAAATGCCACAAAAATAATAGACAATATTTACGTTAAGACCGCTTCTGTTTCCTATAAACATTTTCTGGACAGTGACTATAAGTTTAATTTAAAACACCAACGCTTAAACCACAGCCCTAAATGTTATCAAGGACTGAAAGCATTTATTATCCATATTATAACACTTTCTTCAATATTAAGTTTAATAAAAACGCACTATGTCCAGAAATTTCTCTATTTTCTTTGATAATATTACTATTATTCGTGTATTCGCACGGCAACTACTCATCAAGTGACGTCATGCGCGGGACGAACCAAAACTCGTACACGGGAGCATCCAGCCCTGATTTATCTTTAGTTTTATTTCTTGTTTTCATGAACATGAACGCAACCACTACTTTACATAGTTTTAACTTTTTATCTTATTTCTTATTTTAAGTAAGCTTGAATGCACCTTAAATTGTTTGCAATTTGAAGAAAAATATGTTGTAGAGGTGCAGATTTTAAAAAAATTAAAATAATTTTATGAACTTTATACTAATACGCTGTTAATAAGAAGAAAAAGATTATAACTGACAAAGAATTTGGTTATGATCGGAATTTTTATTTTTGAATATATATACTTCATTCGTAAATACCATTTGAGGAGCATCCGTGCAAAACCGGCTAAATCCATTTTATTCAGTTTTTGTTTTTTTTTATTTCGCATCTTTGGGTTCATTTCTATCGACAACCAAAATAATTATGTTTAAATCCGACTATATCCATGTTAAAATCACATTTAAAAGGTAGCTTTAGGAGCAAAACCGGCCAAATCCACGTTTTTATAGCAAACCCGGCTATATCCAATAAATAATAATATGTGGCTTGGATATGTCGATACTACTACTAAAATTTGTTCTGTTTTTTCATGTTTGCACTAATTTTATTTTATTAATATTTTTGAATAATATAGGTTTTTTTTCACATTTTATTCGTTTTTTATCCGGCTATATACAAAACATTTTTTGAAATTTTGGCCTTACTATAAATCAAGTACCACAAAGCCCACAAAACTCAAGTTTGCTTTTTCTTTTATCTGTAAAGGCCAGGAAACTGAGAGTTTTTGCCATTTTCCCAACATTTTATTAAAGTGGATATAGCCGGTTTTGCACGGATGCTCCTCATTTATATTATAACATCGTGACGTCACGCTACTGAGAAAATTTATTAATTTTCAAGGTCATTTTTTTAAGACCATTGATAGGAAAAAACGTTTTTTAACCTCTATTATAATAACAGAAGTGGTTTTACACTAATTTTCTACATCATGTTGGAGCCCTTTGCTGCTGACCGCTGCTCATTTCACACGAGGAAAAAATTCGTGTAAGATCGGTAAGTCGGTTTCTTAACGTGATAACGAGTATTGACCCCCTTGACGATATTCTAGTGTCCCCGTTTATGGGATTTTCAACCACTGTGTGCGCAGGATAAATATCAAAGATAAGTTTTAAATGGATTTAAGGTTCAGGAGAGCATGTAGGATGGATTGCCTGTTTTTTCACAACCTCCTTGACACGGGTATTACATGAAAGGGGTTGACTTATAGACAACAATAAGGTAAGAAAATTGTTTAAAAATTTACAATATTTTCAATGTTTTTTTAAATTACAAACTATAATAGTCAGGAACTCATTAGGTAACTGGTAAATTTATAAATTTGTATCAGAAAATAATAAAATAAATAAATACAATTTTTAACACAATTGAATGAATATAAAACACTATTCATTCGATTTCCATCATCTTCAGAATTTTACTTCAATAGTGTGCTTGTAAACTATTTTTTTTGTATTTAATATTAAATTTTAACATTTACAATCTTATTGGATTCATGATTCAAACCTATAATTGTGGCGAAAATAAACGGTGAAATGGATAAAAGAAAATATTAGAATAGAAGACAATTTTTCAAAATTTGTAAACGTGTGCGAACTTTCGATGGTTAAATGAAAATATCAAATCTATAATATTTTAGTAATTAATAGATTGTCATGCATTAAAAATCTATTATACCATTATTAAAATTAAATTTAATGTGATGTGGAATGAAAAAATCGCCCCAACTGATTAGCGAGAAAAGGCGATTTAAAGTAAAAGATTGGGAAAGCAGGTAGCAAGAAACCTGCTATTAAGTCGACCGAAGATGTCCGAAGACACGGATACGGAGCTCGGAGTCGTAGCAGTGCACGAGGCACTCTCAACTTTCCTAAACCAGCCAGTCAATTGGTTTTCTTTTCATTCTACCTCACAAATATTGATTTATGTACTGACCTTGAGCTCTGAAACTTGTTGATTTAAATCCTCGAGTTTTCCCGTATCTCCTGATATTTTACTTGCCACTGGCCTTGTTGCCTGAGGTCTTACAGGATTTACCTTTGGCACTACAGAACAAGACATTATGAAAAATCTATATAATTATATGCATATAAATTAAAAAATAAAGCTATATTATTTTGCGAAGCAAAAAACTCAACAAAAAAGTGTGACAACTGAAGTAAAATGTGACAGTTATGATATAAAATTCATGCTGCATGCAACTAGCAGGTGAAAAAGCGTTGTCGGCATTATTTGATTTATTTGTTAAACATTTTTAAATTTAAATTTACCCAATAACGAAAATATTTTTTGTAAAATCAGAATTTTTGCAGTTAATATAAACGATTTTTAAATATTTATGAATTTTACAAAAAATCAACTGCAAAGAAAACATTTTTTTCTCAACACAAAATTTATTGAAAATTAAAATGTGTCAACAAAAATATTATTTTTTTGTTTCAATAATATTACAAGAATAATAATTATTGTCTATAAGTTATAAGCTATACAGTATGTCCTCAGATTAAGTTAATATAGTATATGTATTCATTTTAGCAATTCCCTAAAATAAAATAACGCGCGATAGTCACGTGCTCGGTACGCTATTGGTCATCGGCGATAAAACTTTCAAACCCCTTTATCGTCGATTGACCAATAGAATGTGTTTTACCCACGTACTCTTCGTGCATTTGGTGTGTTCTAGAGAATTGGTAAAATAAATATACTATAGGTACTAGTGTAGTAAATAATATTCCTGAGGTTTTTTCCTGCTTTCAAATCGTTTAAAACAACAAAAATGTTTAAATATCTCGGTTTATAAAAAAAATTAATTTTAAAAATTACTTTTCTCAAAAGTACAAATTTTTATTTTTTATTTCTCATAAACATTTATTCCAATTGATTTAATTTACTTTTTTAAAACCCCAAAACATCATATTAAAACCGTTCTTAAGAAAATTAATTTTTCCCTATTTAAATTTTAATCTTGAGACATACTGTTAATACATAATATATTATACAAGGTGTCCCTAAAATGTATGTCCAAAATAATACCACATAATATGTGGCACATATTCCTGAAACCAAAATAATGCGATATAACCATTTACCTCCATACAAAAGTTGAAAATACAAGCTACAGGGTGTCAAAGTTGAAAGCACAAAATTTGATATTTAGGTTTTTTTTCAGAACAGAAACGAACTTTCAACTTCTTGGTTCTTGGTTATTATTAGCTTTTGTATAGATGTAAATTTAGTTATATCGCATTATTTTGGTGGTATCATTTTGTATGGGCAATTCAGGGTCACATTGTATAACAGTTAATTTAAACATTTTAAAGTAAAAAACGTAAATATTTGACTGCAAACAATGGGGTAGTTATATATTTTTAATAAATACTTTTTTTAGTTTTATGTATGTGTGTATTTTGGAATTAAAATGTAGCGACAAATTGAGAATTTTTTAGTCACTTTGGCTTATACATATTGACGGCATCGAATCAGGCATGTGCGCCAAACAAAATTTCACAGGAGAAAAACATTTTTGTAAATACAGTATGACCCAATTGTTTGCGACCCCTGTAAAATCTTTATTTATTGTGCGATTTTAACTGGAAGTGTAGATCTTGATAAACTGTTTTTTTTTTAGCAAGAAACGCCATATTTTTACAAAATACAAGGCCTATGTCAGTTTTGAGAGTAAATTTTTAAGAATTTATATTGGCGATTTAAAAAAAATCTATGCACAGCACTATTTATTCTGTCAAGTTATCCATGAAAAAAACATTGAATTAAAATTAAGCTAATAGTAACATGCTTAGTTTTAACAAATAAAAACTCAATAGAAACTTAAAACAAAACATAAAGAATTCAAAAAATTTCCTAAAATTAGATTTTTGTCACCTTTACTGCATAAGAACTACGGGCTAGGGTAATACAAGCCTGCGCAGCCATTACTCCAAAACAAATATAAAAGTGTATTGAAATAAATGGTGGATTAGTAGAGGTGACGAAAACTAATTGTTTTGGAATTCTCTTTTTTTTGTTTAATTTTTGTTATAATCTTCTATTGCGTTTTTATTTGTTAAAACTAAGCATAATAATATTTATAGGTACCATGTTACTATTGGTTTAATTTTAATTCAGTGTTTTTTCATGGATAACTTGACAGAATAAATAGTAATTATTGTGCATTTATAATTCAGCTTTAAAATTTACTATAGGCAGGGCTCCCACAGCTAAATTACAAATTTTATTTAGGAATTTAGGAGGTTTTTTGGAGAATTTTAGGAGAAATAAAGTATGCAAATGAATTTATGTTAAAACAACTCTACACTGTACTGTAAATAAGAACAAAAATAAATAATTTTTTTTAACAAAAATATAAATAAATATCACTTCTATTGTACAAATAGGTTACATTGACTAGTTTTTTAGCCAAACCACTCAACAAGTTTTTTTTTAATAAAATTAAGTGAGGTAAAATTACAACTTTTGTATATCTGAGGTATATACACAAGTAGAAATTTTATTAAAAAAAAAACTCGTCGATAGATATGGCTAAAAAACTAGGCCAAAGTCAAATAATGTTATATTTATATCTTGAGAAAAAAAAATGTTAACAGTTTAGTTAATTAACAATAATCGTAATGTGGATCTTGTTACTCAAAAAAATATAAAGTTTGCATAATACAGCAAAACATTATTTAGATTGTTTACTATTTTATCTATCATTTAAAAAAAATATAGGGTATATTTTTGTCGAAAACAAATATGGCTAAAAATGACAATTTTGTAGAAGTCTAGAAGCTACTACATGGATTTTGTTTTTTAGGTATATTTTGTTGTTTTTTAGAAAAACGTAGGTTTTGATATATCATTTTAAAAAGAAATTAATAAACTGGAACTTAAAAATATATATTTTACTTTTTAAAAAAGAAATTTTTTAGCATGACAACTACCTTAATTAAACGCAGTCAAGTTGGCCTACTTATATTTAATTTTAGGAGGTGTGGGAGCCCTGTATAGGGTCGTTTAAAAAAAAATTACTCTCAAAACTGACATAGTAGACCTTGCATTTTGTATGGTGTTTTTGCTCGAAAAATACGGTTTATCAAGATCTACACTTTAAAACCAATCCGGTTAAAATCGCACAATAAATAAATATTTTACAGGGGTGAGTCTCAACAAAATGGGTCACACTGTATGTAACTAAGTAACGTGTGTCTGAAAATACTACTAAATATTTACAAACATGGAACTTTGAAACGTTTTTATCTTCCCCTACACAATTTTTCATTTTGGCTCATAGGCCTCTCCGAATTGATGCCCTCAATATATTAAAACCATTGAAAGTGTATGTTAAAAAATAACCTTCCTATTTAAACACGACCGAAAATAATATTATGTAGTAGTGTGACGTACCAGCACGCCCGATGGGCTTGGACTTTGCCGGCGAGGTGGGCACGTGCGAGTTATTCGCGTGCACCGGTCTTCTGTTCATCAGGGAGTTTCCTTTGGGCGCGTTGGCCCCCCCGTTCCCCATCGGCTCGCCGCCTCTGCAGCCGAGCGCGTCGTACTCGGCGCCCGAATAGTTGGCGTCGAAGAACTTCTTGAACCACTGCAAAAACTCGAAATTGTCCTGGAAGCGGCCCTTCACCAGCCTGTCTATCGACACGATCTGTGTGTGTGTATAAGTAATGCCACGAACGCAAAAACAAAACAAAATCAAATGATAAAAAATGAACGTAACATGTGGTGCAATGAAGTAAATAAAACAAATTATAATACATCGTATATTACGCAACAAGTTTTAATTGGACACGAATTGCATACTATACTTTTTCTACAATAAATTCAAAAATTAAATAATTTTCAAAAATAAAAAAATCTGACATCTCTCAGACGGTTCTAACCTCACTTTCTAAAGATCATTATAGTCGCTTCAAGAAGACTAAATACAGGAGGAGTAACCCTCAACCAGAGCTGGGAAAGTTACTTCTGAAAAGTATCTAGTTACTTTTTTAAGATACTTTAAACTAAATAACTTAGATACCTCTGGTAACTAGATACTTTGAGTTAAAAGTATCTTTAGTTACAGGATACTTTAAAAAGTATCTTACATACTATCCGAAAGTATCTAAGATACTATATGAAAGTATCCAAGATACTCAACCCAACTCCTACTACGGAAAATGACCGTTTTTATATCACTTTTTAATATGGAATTACATATATTTATTAAAGTGTACCGAATGAATTATTCTATTATCAAATGACGTAATAAACTCTGGTGGCACCATCAATGTGTTTATTATCTTTACAACTTTTATGGTATGGTAAATTTCAGAAACGTAGAAAAAGTATAATCTGAAACACATTTGGAATTGCACATTCCGCTCTCGTGAAACCGTCAAACTCGCCTTCGGCTCGTTTCACTCGAGCGGAATATGCCGTATTCCAAACTTGTTACTACTACGAATTTGTACTTTGTCCATAAGTCATTATGTCAATGTAATTTTAAATAAAATATGCAGATGCAGATTCAAAGGCAGATAAGCTTAAAAAAATTATCTTCTTTTTCTGTTATTGTTGTAACTAGATACTTTGAGTTAAAAGTATCTTTAGTTACAGGATACTTTAAAAAGTATCTTACATACTATCCGAAAGTATCTAAGATACTTTTGTCAAAATTTGAGTAACTAAGTTACTTTTAAGTATGAATAAAAATTATAAAATTATAAAAATTCAACAAGTTAGGTAATTACTTTGAATAATTCTGGAATTTCCCCAATTTTCTCTAAGAAAGTATCTAAGATACACTGAAAAGTATCTTAGTTACTTTACCGAGTAACTTGGATACTTTTTAAGATACAAGTTACAAGATACTTTTCCAAAGTAACTAAGTTAAATATACTTTCTGTCCAATATAAAAAGTATCTAAGTTACTTTTAATTATATTTTTTTCAAGATACTCCCAGCTCTGCTCTCAACCACAAGATAAAATGATACGCCAAATAGCGTACACAAGAATGCCTACGGATGCGCATCCAATACTGGATGTACAATAGATACTCTCAGGCACAGATTGGGCGCACGAGCATTTTACGCAACCGTAGGTTACTGAGTACGTGCGTACGTTTTCTAGCGTGCCACCTAGCAAGTTACACCCCCTGTATTTAGTCTTCTTGAGTCGCTTTATTTTGACGATTGTATGTTATTTGACAGGTTGTATAAAATTTGACAAGTGTCGCCTAATGTACGTATGAGTACGTGCGTACGTTTTTAGCGTGCCACCTAGCAAGTTACTCCTCCTGTATTTAGTCTTCTTGAGTCGCTTTATTTTGACGATTGTATGACATTTGACCGATTTTATAAAATTTGACAAGTACCGCCTAATGTAAAGCTAACTTGAAAGAAAGAAAGAAAGAAAATACGTTTATTTTGAAAAATCCAGAGAGTGCACGTTAACACTCTATACGGATTCATCCTCTCACAACAATACAACAAAAATATATAAACAATAAAAAATAAAAATATAAAAGTAGTAGTAGTAGATATTCATTTCACATTTCGTCATGTTTTAAAAGCTTAAGCTAGTTTCTATACTATAGATAGGTACATTACATGTTTGATAATGCAAGGACGGAAAAGAGAATAAAAATAAAATAAAATGACAATACCCGTTGAAACACCCTAGCTTGGAAGTCTTCAACCCGTTACAAAGACGCTGTCACAGCTCGTCAATGTGTATTTAAAAGATAACTTAGAGCCACGAAACACACAAACACGGTATGCTATTGCGCATGGTAACGCTGTCTCTCTCGCTCCGTTTGACGTTATGATCAATGAAGTTGTTCACTCGTTCCAATATAATTTAATGTAATTTTGGGGCGCGCGTTCGAGTATTAAATTTACAATTATGACGGCCGATTTATTAAGAACTGATTGTAAGAGAAGGAATATGCAATTCCAAATGTATTTCAGAATATTCTTTTTCTACGTTTCCCAAAAATACCATGGCAAGATAATTTAATTGGGAGAAATTAGGTTGGATCGGTCTAAAAGTTGTTATATAATAAACACAGAGATGTCGCCACCACTGTTTATTCCGTCATCCGGTGATGGAATAATTCATTCTGTAAAACTTTAAAGGAATATATGCAATTCCACATTAAAAAGTGACATTAGAACGGTCATATTCCGTAATAGGAGTAGAAACAATTGTTTTTTTTCTACTCCTATTACGGAAAATGAGCGTTCTTATATCACTTTTTAATATGGAATTACATATATTTCTTAAAGTGTTACAGAATGAATCATTCTATTATCGGATGACGGAATAAACACTGGTGGCGCCATCAATGTGTTTATTATCTAACAACTTTTATGGTATGGTAAATTTCAGAAACGTAGAAAAAAGTATAATCTGAAACACATTTGGAATTGCACATTCCAAACTTGTTACAGAATATACTACTACGAATTTGTACTTATGTCAATGTAATTTTTAAATTAAATATACAGATGCAGATTCAAAGGCAGATAAGCTTAAAAAATTATCTTCGTTTTTCTGTTATTGTTGTTATTTTAAAAATAATAAAACTTTTTTATGTTTTTTGGCTATTTAAAAAAAAAGGATACTATCAATGTTATAAATACCAGGAAATTCAAAAGATATTTTGAATAAAGGAAAACATAAATGTTATAAATTTAGGGTGTTTCTACTAAAAATTGATAACCTTATAGAAATCTCATAGAGACTTTTTTCAAATAAATTTTTTTCAATTTAGCTTTTGTTTTTGAATTATCGAACTATGTTTTAAGTAAACCTTTTTATCTGTTATTTATGGGCATATTCAAAAAAATAAGCTTTAATGAAAATAAGTTAAGTGAAGAATTGGGTAGTTTAGATTCCAATTTTTTTATAACGTGAAAATTGTACGAGTTCTGCATCTTGATGCAAAACAACAATATGAAACAAGTATCCAGATTTTTGTATACAGCAAAAACTTAAAGTTAATAACTTTTTTGCACTTTGTCCACTTTGAGTAGAAAAACTATGTCTATTATATTATTAATTCTATAAAAGAAAGTAAAAATTCTAACATTTTTATTAAGAGAGAAAAAAGTAAATTAAAAATATTTATATTTTTAAATTCGTAAATATTGACATTTTCTTTTTTAGTACCTTTTGTAGATTTATTACAGTCTTTACATTTAGCCACAGCGAAGTTCTGCATTATAAATTAATCTCACGCACACGAAAACACAATAAAAATAATAAATTTGGATTTCTTACGATTTTAATTATTCTAATAATAATAATAATACATACAACACAATATTCTATCCGCTCATAAAATAATAATAACATTAACATTACTAAACATAATTAAACATAGTATTATTAAACAATGCATAAGCAATGCATAATATAACTAGTTTTCAAGATACATACACCTCGAATGTAACGTACGTGGGCGTGGCGGACGAAATTTGGCTACAATAGTAGCCTACCGTGTTAGTGTGTATCGTTCTTAGAGCCATGAAAACATACAATAAGGTGTTTTTAAGGGGGGCATTTATTTTCGTTTTCCAGTAAAAAAACCTTTTAAAAATGTTTACAGCCCACACAGGCAAATAAAGATAACAGAAACATTTTCAAGTATGCCATGCCACAATATGCATTAAAAAGGCATTACCAAATAAAACCAAAGCTTGGTTCATTTTTTGCCTCCTGGTATAAATAGTCATTTCAAGAAACCTGTAAAACTCATTTCCATGGAAAATAATTTACCTTTGGTGTTTTGTTAAACTTTGAGAATATGAGAACAATAAAATGACATTATGATTCATGGATTCATGTTTCAAAACATTGTTTATTTTACATTCCATATGGTTTTGTTTAAAAATGATAAAAGCACGATGCTATTAAAAATGTTTCTATTCATGCTTAAATAAAAGGAAATGAAAGAAAAACGTTCTTACTTTTTGCTGGGCCTATTACATAATACATTATAGTGGGTAATAGGTTATTGATTTATGGAATATATTCAATAGTTTTAACTGTTTATTAATTGCATTCCTTTGTTATCTGACATCATTTTAGGGTTTTTACCCTTACTTGTGTAAATATGAATTAATTTATTAAATGTTAAATTTGGGTTAAAAAATATAAATTAAAATTCATTAAAATAGAATGATTAAAACAACGATTTAAAGTTGTGCTTAAAAGAAGAAAAAAACAATTTAAACTTAATGATATATTCCTTAAATCAACTTGGTCATTTCAAAATATGATTTATTATGTTTTAGAAATTTTATAAAAAAAGAATAATTTTATTTATAATTACTTTTTGATTTAAAACAGGAGCAAATTTGAAATAGCGCAAAAATTAGCTATTTTTTATTTATTATTAATATTTTGTTACATTTTTATATAGCTACTGTTAAAGTTGTCTTTTATCCAGTGTCGGCTCGTCAGGGGAGGCCTAGCCTCCTCAAAATTTGTAACCAATACTTGAATTATCTTATTTCAATAACTATTATACAGTTTGTCCCCGGATAGGGTTGCCAATAGAAACAACTTTTTATTATGTTTTATGGAAAATTTTTCCTCATAAAACCCCATACAAAAATTCTAATTCAAATATACACTGTTCGAAAATTAGAAAAACA